TTTCCTTCTATTTTCGATATCCTATCCCATATGATAGGATACATTTATTATGAAAATATGGGTCTACCCACCCCAAACAATGAGAAAATGTTATTGTTTTGATGACACAATTAATGAAGTCATTCGATAAGTGTACATATACATTGTGAAATACACCATGTCATTCTATACACATATGTATACCGTATTACAAAACATTGATAGTACGGTAGTATTCTGATTCTATTGACTTTATTTGTAAAAACAAGATGTAAAAAATGGTCTAAATGGATTCATTATGCAAATTAACATTTTCTGACCTCAATTCAGAAAAATCAAAATAATACGCATGTAACAATTCTGAAATTACTGCCAAAAAACGAAGAAAATTAACAATTTTAGTTTTCTAAGTCAACTGAAGTGCCAAGAGTTGGTCACTATAAAGATGATCACTGACAGTTGCATAGATTTGACTGTAATATAGGATGTTTGTTTTCACTCAGAACACAGGTACAGTGCATCTAATATAGCTTGTACTTCTGCATTAGAAATTTTCTTAATTGTTTTCTGGATCATTAAAATATAATGATATATGTATATAATCATCGTGGACCCGCATCTGCGCCTTATTAAAAAAATATAAAATGGGAAGTAAAAATTAATCTGCAAAACGAAGTAGATGTTTGAAAAGTAATCTTAAATAAACATAGCTCTCAGTCTTAAATAAAAATGATACAGGTGTGTAAAAATAAGTTGTTTTTTAATTATCCAGGATGTAATGCCAGTTTTGAATTATTTGTGCTTTTATTAGAAATGCATAATAAAACTAAGCTTACTGGAAATGAGAAAGTGATTGTGGTTTGTCCAAGTGATCCAGATGTTACACCTAATATATATCAGAAGTTAACACACCACTTACTGAAAGTTGCAACAGAAGGCAGTGTTAATGAGATACTTGGTAAATTGTCAGGCCAACATCAACTTTCCCCAAGCTAACCCTTAAACCAAATGATGATTACCGGTAGTATGTTTTAAGCCAAGTACTGTATAATATATTGGGATAATTGATTAAGTGCGCTATTGAAGGATATAGTAGTAGAAATTCATGTATTCAGTCAGACTGTTAGGTATTTATACTTTCAGATTTAATAGTCATTGTGTGGTACAATAAAATAGAGCTGAAAAGATGCCAGAACATCACAGCTGTTTTCATTGTACATGTATGGTACCACCTATGTGGCGCAGTGATTGCATAACCTTTATCCAGCCAGCCCTATGTACTTTTACATTGACTTCACCAGATAATGGATAATGAACAGTCTATTTCGCACATTGTGACTGTGATTCCTCCTTTGTAGCACATGCTTTACACATTGTGTACTGAAGCCCTCCTCAGATAGCCATGAATGGTTTATAACTGTGTCAGCTGCTGATGTTTTATGCACCATATTTGTATGATATTTGTATGATATTTTAATAAGTTTGTGTGAATTGCTTCCTAGGTGACTATTATTTCTAACACAAAGGACACAAATATTGTTTAATTTTTCACAATTTGATGGTAATTTAGCAAAAGTCACTGTGACTCCGTGTTTAGAATCTCAGTGGGATTTTTACTGCTATAAAATTTCATGATTTTCTCTGATTTTGAAATTTGCAAAAATGCGTCTTTTGCTAAGTGAAAATACCGGTATTTACAGTATTTTTGATGTGATCATAATAGAATCAATATCTTTGTATTTGGTCATAACAACAAAATTATTTTTCTCTGTCTTGGCTATTATTGAATAACATGTTTTGGCTCCTTATCCTATATTAGCCTGTTTTACTTTTGGCATTCCCAAATTTGTTGTTTGTTGAATAAACAAAATTAAAATTTGTTTCGTTTTCATACAGTCAAAACGTCATTACTTCGACTGGTCTAAGCGCCCTTGTGGAATGTAGATTTGTTACTGTAACATCTGTATTAGAAGCTGTGGCTTCTCTTAAAATGATACAACACTACAGAAAGGGATGCTGTTTCTCTTAGAGCATCTAAACATATGAGAAATGATGACATTTTTGTTTTCAATTGTTTAAAAAGAATGGGTGTGACTTATATTAGAATGCAACTTCTAATAGAGATTTAATGGTACATCAGAAGTGGCAGACCTACAGTAACAGTGTTTTTTCTCCAAACTGGTGAACAAAAACTTGGCGACAATGGCAAGACCTACATGTATGTGGACACTCGAAAGAGACAATTATTTTTTATTTTGTGATTACTTACACTGTTTTACTTTTCGTTTACTAGGAATCGCTCAGCATGGTTAAAAAGCATTTGAAAGATGCCCAAGCTCACCAGAGAGTGTGGCGTAACGTGGAATTCCGTGATCGTTTCATGGTGGAGCGTAACTTTGAACGTGTAAATTTCTGGTCTTTGGTGAATACAGTCATTATGCTGATTACTGGTGTTATCCAAGTTGTGATGATAAGAAGTCTGTTTGGTGACACTAGGGCAGTGAAAACATGAGAGTGTGGATAGTACTTAACTTTAACTGTCTGGCCTCAAATGTGTATAATTCATCCATATTATATTTCTTGCTATATAATTGGGATGACCTATATTTGATTTCTCTGAATGTGGTCTGTGGTGGATCATTATTGCTTGGTCAGTCAGATTTCTACTGTGTATGTACCAGTACCGGTAAATAAAAAAAAATGACACAAAAATATGCAAGTGAAAAAAGTTAAAATTTTCCAGTGAAGGAAGGATGGTACAATATAAACTTTAATGTTTTATGTGAATAGTCTTATGTACATAAAACCCTGAGATGTACGTGTGTAAAAGTTGGAATACACATAATGCCCTCCAGTACATGCCTCGATTTCATCTGTACAGTCTTCTGTACATTATGGAAGTTGTTTGTATAAATGCTTCCAACTTTCGATTCATATTTAATCATCAAATATTCAGCTCTGACTAATAATATTAATTCTTAGTTTTGTGCATTTGATAAATTTAGTAGCTATTTGCAGTTACAATACTTTGAAATTCGTAACCTTCTAACCTACCCTAACGACATTGGTGTAAATACAGAGGGTACAACACTCGTGACACTAATAATATACTGTATGTAGAGAATCTGTTCAGCAAAGAAGTAAGATTGGATTAAATTTTTTCTTTGTACAACAATCAAAGTAGTAGGGTTGTCACTTGCCCATGCGGGAATACTCCAGAGGTACGATAACACGCGCTAAAACACAAAGGCTCATGGGTAGACGCTTGTTTGTAAACAATAACACGCTATGCATGTGCAGGTGATGACTCCTCGTCTTAAAGTTCAGCAACATTGATCAGTTTAAAATCTGTAACACATTGCTGATTGATTGTTTATGAACATTAATATAACTTGTGAGCACATGTACATGTATCATAGTGTAATCTATGGAATCTATGCAATTAGCATGTTATCAGTTTACGTCTTTTGTGTTGTCCTCAAGTATAGATTCAGTGTACCATATAATGGATAAGACTTTGAAAACTAGTTTCTATTTACATGTCACTAATACCATTATGTTGAAACACATGATCAAGTTTATTATACCAGTACTAACAAAAATATAAATAACTGCGGTTTGATTTTACGCATATACCATATTTTCTCTATAAGAGGAATCCTCCAAGGAAAAAAATGAACTTTTACAACTATTAAGTTTGTTTTGACACAAGTTCAAAATTCTTAGACTGCCTTCTAAATAGTCAATTATTTCCTATTCAATCCTGCTAAGGCATTTTTAGAAAATTTTGCCTTAAATTTTTGGTGTTTCAAGCCCCGTCTTTTTATATTGATATCCTATGCAAGCAATAGAGGAAATATGGTACCCGAATTTGTGCATTTGTCGCTTTTCCTTCACTCTTGCATGCTTATATTTTATAGAACGAGTGCATGTTACAATTCTTGTCCACAGCCATTTATTGTTGCTGTTTACTTTGTGATTTTTCTACACTTGGCACAAGGTGTCCTGTTTTCAAGCTTCCTGGGAAGAGGATACAATGTGGTATCACAAAGTAAACATTTATAGCAATTTGAGGGGGGTGCAAGATAACTTGATTTTACTAACGTTTTTTGATGTGGCACATCTACTTGAGGTTGGCATTAGTGATAATTTTTTTGTATGGTTTTGGTATGTAATTCTTTTTTGGAAGTTTGTAGAAAATTAAAGATGGATTAGTTCCTCGAATCTGCTGTGTTTGTTGTATACTACCATATTATCACTCTTTCATGGTACAGTTCCACTACAGACATGTAATTTCTCTCTCCAAGGAAGTTATTTCCCCACCAAAATTCCCTATATTTTATGTATTGTACAGTTGCAAACATTCAGTTCACCAAATGGTATAGCCATCATCAGTACCTTTGATAACCAAAGTTTCTCAATACATTCTTGTATCCGACATGTCTGGATATATGCATGACCATTTTGTGATCTGATGCAAGAAGGTAGAGTATCAGCCATTTTAGTGCTAAAATTAAAGAAATCTAGTGTGCTGAGAGTATTAGAGGCATATTAATATTTGTCTATTTGAGATGCACAATGTGATCCACATTATTGCAGTTTACAATACTTTAAGAAAATAAATTTGGTTTGCAGTCTAATTACAGAGCCCCTCTATCAATTTAAATGATTTTTTGAGATAACTGAAATTAATTAGATGCATATTTTTCAACATTAAACTAATCGTGTGTGGATTATCTCTGAGCATCTATGAACCAAATTTCAATGAAATGTGATGATCTGGCAATTAGAATGCTCAAATTTCAAAAATAATCAGGTCTTTTGTTCCCAGGTATCAAATCTTATTGAAATGCAATAATTGGTTTTTGAGATAGGTAGTAGAAAATAGAGTATTTATTACGCATAGATTTCAACCCCCAAACTGAGTGGATCTGTCATGTACATCGTTTTTAAACTTGGTATCTTAAAATCTGTATTTGAAGCCACAACCCTAATAGAAGTCGCACCTATTTTTTTTGAATAATGGAGAACCAAAAATTCACAATTTCTTGTGGGAAAGTCGTATATTTGGACGTAATGTTTCATATAAAACCAGATATCCAGCATTCAGACACAACATTATTTGAAGAGTCCTGTATCAAGTACATTTAGTGCTATATAGCCCCGGTACTCTCGTATGGATTCTGAACTTGAGCGGGAAACATTGATACAAATATACAACACTGTGATTGGTCAATACAAATATGTTGCCTCTCACGTTCGCACATAGCACGGCGTTCAAGGTCTTATCCGCTTTTGTTACATTCAAGCTCAGGTGGTATATTTCTCATTTCTCATAGAAGCGGCATCCCCTCTGTTGCATTGTATCAGTTTAAAAGAAGCTACAGCTTCTAATACAGAGTTTACAGTGCATGTACATACATAAGACATTATGTAATCTTGATACAATGTTCAGCAGATCAGATTTAGAAGAATGGATCTGCATTAGTCTAATTCTATGTGGATTAACATTGCGATTGAAACGCATATTATCAAAGACGTTGGTTTCAAAGGAATTCATAATTTTTAAAAGGCTTTGGATATTACAGTATGACTCGTTCTGTATTCTCAGAATAACTCAACAAAAAAAGGAAAAATGTATTTTCTTACTATTTTAATACTACTGTATATTCATACATAATTACAATTTCTCATAATATTTTTTTTTTGGGCTTTTACCAACTTTGCCCTGTATGTATGAATAATTCTAATAGTACCACAGCATGCCACAATTTGTAATCAGAAAAATAATATTTAATAGAGTTCTATGTTTATCACCAATAGGGTGCATAAATAAAGTACAGGACTGAAATAAATTCTACTAATCTTGTTTTTGTGTTATGTCAATTTATATTCCATAAGTAATTAAAATAGATTTACAGTGATTTGTGAAAATATTATTGAAGGTGGAGGTGATTCTGAATTTATTTATGCATGATAAAACACAATCTGTTTCACCTTTCCACCACCAGACTGTCAAAATTTTTCTGCCCTTTTTTCTTATTTTTTTTCAATATTTCTGGAAATGAACCCAAATTTTGGAGCGAACAGATACACTTTGAGTTTTACTTTATAATGTTGACAATTTGAGGAAAGTGCAGACTATGAACAGACTGTTTTGTGAATCTGTGATGAAGAGGACCTGGTGGTGAAAAGGTTAATGTGTCACACAGGAATGACCTCCAAATATATCATGTTACAGGTATGTAACCATAAATAGGAACACTCAGTACTACATAATTGTTTCAAATCATTCCTAATATATAATTTGTATACAAAGTTATTACAAGAAAGTTGATTAATTTTGATTAAAATCTGATCAGGTACAGAAGATTCATACTCATAAATGCAGATCCCAGTATGTATTCATTTTGCAATAAATTAATACTCTTGGGCAATATAAGAATATCGAATTTAAAAAAGTATGGGGTCACAAATCTAATTTTCGGGAAAATAATGTTTGCATTCAGTTGATAGTGGCTATTTTGTTTGTACTGTACCATAGATATTTACGGCAGAGATATTATGCCATATGTCAAATTGTAGGCTGGTGACATTATATACTGGTAATGTGACTGATGGGGTACCTATTTTTGTCCTGAATTATTTCAAAAAACGTAATTATTTTTTAACGTTGTGTTTAATAGAATTGTTGGATAAATATTAGGAGAAGTTTCTCAAAATATGTCACTGTAACACACAAAAGAATGTTATTTCATGGTGCCATGGGATATTAGCGCCATTATTCTACATAATTGACATTGTTATGTCATTTATGACCAACTTTCTCATGAATTAGAGTAGGCTTCTGCTGAGATACTTATATTGACAATGCACCTCCAACACAGTATGTAAGGAAATTGCATTCTGGGACTCGGACTGAATTTGCCAATCACTTTGAGAATGTTGTTCAAATTTACTAAATCTGTAAACATTGTCCCTGATTGGTTATTGGTCAAACATGATTTTAACTGACTGACTGATTTTCTTATATCAGTCATGCTCTTGAGTGATGAAATGTGATAGCGTGAAGGGTGTAAATGGTTGTGAAAGACGAAGATGGAAACAATATATACAGAAAATGATCTTCTATCCCTTTACCAATTTCAAACCATTTGAATACCATTATTACCATGACTTTTGTCATGGAATTCCAGGCATCAGAAATGTTGGGATATGTTCATTTCTGGCCCGTAATTATGTCACATGTATAACCAAACCAGCGGGTTTCCTCATCTGGTAACCTAGTGGAATCACTGTCCATTCAAACACCTGAAAGTCAGACACAATTCATCTTTGCAACCTGATTGCAGCCTGGTAACAGACACACAGTATCTATAGACAGAGCAAAGAAACTAAAAAGTAGAGTAACATCTGTTTCATCGCAGTGCTCAAAGATTTTACGTTAAGACTCTGTTTAGGTATTCATTCATGAACATTCCATTGGGGTCAAGTTGTTGTCGAATTTCCAGAAACCTTGAAAACTTGGGATACATGTCCAGGAATTGTTCTCTGGTTATTTTATGTGCCTAAAAAAAAAGACAATAGAGTAATGAGTATAATTAATGGCTCCAACTGACAACAATTGCATTCATATTATGTGGCTATGTGAAACATTGATCACTATAATAAACTCAGTTATTATGTATTCGATACAGGTGATTTAAACGAAAATATAGAAACTATAAACATCCACCAGGTGAAATTACATTTTGTACGATATGACGATGATTTGAATAATCGCTCTTTGTATTCAGAATGAGGGAGAATTTGTTAATCATTTTAAAAAATCCACCATTTTCAGAGTGTTCAAAGTTATCTGGGATAGGACACTGGATTATTATTCCTTCACGACTAATTGTAGATCTCCTTCGTCTTCCACAAATAAGTGCAGGTTACAGGCCAGATTTTTAAGCGCCCTCTATGTTGAATATTGAACATTCTAAAACCATAACAAAAAACAAGCTACTTTTAATTTTGATACTAGATCTACTAAAACAAAATGAATATACCAAGATTTGATTATTATTTGACAAGCACTTCCCAAATTGAAGTGCTAGTGAATTAAGGTACAAGCTAGAGTAAGCAAATAACGCTTATTTTGAGTGATTTTAGCCCAGATTTTTCACCGGTAAACTCACCTTTGCCCAATGTGGCCTGCCACCTGCTTTCATCATAATGTCTTCATACGCAGTCCAATACTTGGAATGCTCTACAAATTTACCATATGGTCTAGTTGCGAGTAAGATATAAAGAAGAAAATGTCAATCACTTGAGATCATACAGTTAATTAGCTAACTGAGAAACACGATTTGAGATGAAGAAATAAATAACAGGGAGGACTATAGACCTGATAGATTTACTAGCTATACTGTTTATAAAGTTTAATAAAATATGTCACTTAACCTTTTCATTGCCAGATTTTATCAACCAAATTTTTTAGCCCTTTTTTTCTCATATTCTTCAATATTCGGAGCCAACGAACAAAATTTGAGTAAATTTTTAGTTTGTACTCAAAAAATTTGGCTCTGTTTGTCCCAATCTTCTTAAAGAAAGTGCAGACTATAACGGGAAGATTTGTGATGAAAAGAGGGAACTGGTGGAGAAAAGGTTAACGATCACAGAATGCAAATACCATATTTGCTCTATTAGTACCAGTTACAGAAATTACAGAGTTGTTTCTATGGAGATAATAAATATACAACAAATATAATTTGGGGTTTATATGGGCTTTTATTGGAATTGCGCTTCTAATAGATAAAATGTTAGCATCCCATCAGATTATATTATTAAAATAAAATCTGTTGAAACATTCTGAACACCTTTATGACCCTTTAACTATGGTTATCAATTAACCTCTAGCTGTGTGCTAAAAATAAAACCAGTAAATAAAAACCATAAAATGAATAAAAACCAAATACCTGTACATAATGATGTTAATAAAGCACGTATCTCTGCCATAAGCTGGACTGATAAGTATGTCATCCCTGTTAACAAACCTCACTTCTACTGGGAAATGAGCAACCTCACCACTCATTTCAACCCATCTCTGTAAACTCCTCAACACTTCACCTGTTTTTTCTCTGTCAATACAAAACATAGAATGACTATTTAAACTTCTGCCCAGGCTGACAAGAGTGCTGTTCACTTCATAATATTCACTGAAATGTTTTGAGTTGTGTATCATATTATTTTTTTATTACTATACTTTTGTATTACAAAACTAGGATGGAATAAATAAATAAAACAGACGACAAAAATGTTTAACTGGTCTCCTAAGTAAAAAATAAATACTAGAATACGCAAATTATTGTCCTTACTGTCATGCAAATAATTAAGTCAAATAAATAACAAATTAAAATTTGTCGTTGTTATTATTTCATTACTAATGTTTATCTAATTGTTTTTTGCTGTCCAACATTGTATGGCCGCTTGGTAGTCATAGCTGTCAAAAGCAATTTGAACAAGATTAACTAGGCTGATTTGGTCAAGTCTGGATAGCCACCGATTTGAAGACGGTTGGTTGGATTTTGGATTTGCATTTTCCATCAGAACAGTCACTGATCACTAAAGAGGTTTCAAAGCACAATGATTGAGAGTATGGCAACTCCATTCATTACTTTGGTCTATCCCCCCCCCCAAAAAATTGACATCGAACGTCTGCGACAAGGTCGCGTACAGAATAAACCAACATTAATGCGAAGATTACCAGTAAACAATAGTGCCGGTCGGCAGGTTTTTGTACCTGCTTTTTTATTTGAGCGCCAGGCAGCACTGTCCAACATGAGTAGAACCCTGATTACTATAACCTTGCATTTGTTCATAGATATCAGTTACAGTTTGGAAGGAAAAAACAGAAAAGTTTTAAATATCAATGATAGGGCAAGATACAAATAATTTTTTGAACATTTGAATATCTGTGAAAACACATAATCCCACAAGATTAGTTTTTTACTCAAGGTGAATCGAAAATACGTTGAGGATATTGTTTTCATACATCAGGCCTTTAAAGCATTGAAAATTTGTGCTGCCTCAGTTGAAATTTAAAGTAAAAAATCTACATTGTATGTATTATTTACATTGTATGAGAATCATGGTAGCTGTTGTTTACAATATGGACGATGTTTGTGAGTATCAAACAATGTCAATCAGTTTGGAGACTATGATGCAACATGCAAAATAGTTGAAACAAGTCATTGTCAATGACACGTCCCTGTTCCATTCATATTTGAGTGACATATACATTCAAAGCAGATCATGACCGAAATCTCAGATCACTTTCAGTGGTCTGATCCGAAATGCACCTGCATATGTACAACACATTGTATGATGTGTGTGAAGTGTGGTCTTGATCTGTCCAGGCATGTCCAAGATATGGATCGAAAACTAAATTCTTTAGAACAAAATGGCTGCCAGTCGGCCATTTTGAACTTGATCTGAAGAAAAATTGGTGTGCATCAAGCTTATATTATGTTTAATATATGCACTAAATCTGAACAAAATCCATCCATGCATGACTGAGATCCGGTTCTGGAATTGTGAAAATATGTGATTGTGATGCATTTTCGGCCTTAAAATGGCCATCATTCAGCTATCGTTAAGCGGATCATGGAACAAATGCACATATCTATTTGTGACATGATGCACCATGTGTGTGTGAAGTTTGAACTTGATCAATCCAGACATGTCTTGGATACGGATCCAGAACTGAATTCTTTAAAAACAAAATGGCCGCCCGTCGGCCATTTCGAACTTGATCCGAAAAAAAAAAATGACGTGCATCAAGGTCCTATTATGTTTAATGTATGTACCAAATTTGAACAAAATCTGTCCATGCATAACTGAGATCTGGGTCCGGAATGGTGAAAATGTGCGATTTTGATGCATTTTCGGCTTTAAAATGGTCGCTATTCGGCTATCGTTAATCGGATCATGAAAAAAATGCATGTGCATATGTCCCATATAATGTGTGATGTATGAGTGAAGTTTGAACTTAATCGGTCCATGCATGTTCGAGATACAGGTGATCACAAACGCACGGACACACGGACGCACACAGGGCAAACCATAAGTCCCCGTTTTTGGACTACGTCTGAACGGGAACTAACAATTATACATACCTTGGTATTGCCCATTCTGTAACGTATTGACTGAACTTGCAATCAAAGTTGAGTACTTTATAACTGACATCTACTCTCTCACTGGGTGTAGTGAATAGCATATGGTAATATAATCTGTTAATAAGAGGCACTAATCTTGGAATGAAGGTGCTGAAATAAAAAATGTACAAATCAATATGCGTCACTGAAGTAGATCACAAGATAAGGGTTTGTTATGTTGCACATGACGAAGGTCAAGTTGAGTTAGAACATTGCAAGATTATATTTCACACAATGAAGTCACCATAATTACATAAAAAAATTAATTAATATTCATGTTCTTCAAATAATACTACTTATACTGTATTAATCTCAATGTCCCTTAAAGAATAACATAATATGAATTGCATAAAAGTAATTAACATGCTCGGATTCACCCAAAAACTAAACAGGTCTGAGCATTACTTCAAAGAATTTATGTACCAAGTTTCATTGAAGTCTGTTCAATAGTACAGAGAAGCAAGTAAAAATGCTTAAAATTAGATACCAGCAATCAATATGCAAACAGGTAATTAATATGTACAGTCAGGTTTCATCCAAAAACTAATCAGGTCTAAGCATTACTTCAAAGCATTTATGTACCAAGTTTCATTGAAGTCTGTTCAATAGTACAGAGAAGCAAGTAAAAATACTTAAAATTAGATACCAGTAATCAATATGCAAACAGGTAATTAATATGTACAGTCAGGTTTCATCCAAAAACTAATCAGGTCTAAGCATTACTCCAAAGCATTTATATGTACCAAGTTTCATTGAAGTCTGTTTAATAGTACAGAGAAGCAAGTAAAAATGCTTAAAATTAGATACCAGTAATCAATATGCAAACAGGTACCGGTAATTAATATGTACAGGTTTCATCCAAAAACTAATCAGGTCTGAGCATTATCCCAGAGCATCTATGTACTAAGTTTGAATAAAATAAAATAATTGATTCTTGAGATATAAGTGAAACAGACATAAACAAAGACACACACTAAATCGCAAAGACTTCTATACTGTTTGCTTTGAACATGGAAGTAAAAATAATCTCAACATGGCCGTCGTGTTTTGAGTCAAAACACGCGATTGATGCAAATACCCAGTTTGTCATAACCCATCATGCCTGGTATATTAACTTTGAATGAAATGAGCCTTGAAATGCCTGAGAAATGGTTCAGGACAAGTTTGATGGAACCCAAAGACAAGCGTGAGTTGTGATTGATACAAGGCATAAATAAATTCAAAGTGAAGAAAAATGAGCATGGACCAACAAAATGTATATTTATCTAGAGGTATATGGTTGTACAAGTCATGGCAGTTAGTTCTGATCAATAGTAAACAAAACTGCAATGAGACAGCCACTGTTAATCAGCACATGAAACGAATAGATGTGTATATGTATCCTAAAGATAATAACAACCTTTATTGATATCGTATCCCCTCTGGGATCTAGATTAGAATACAATAAGGATATAAGAAACAATAAAATACATAAGGAATAATAATAAAAAAAAAAGGAAATAATAAATAGTAATACTGTGAAAATATTATTATATAAATATTTTTTGGTGTTATTTTGAGGCAGCTGGTAAATTGCTTTTCATGAAGTTCTCTCTTTTAGTGAAACAGTCGCTGATAAACTTGGCAATTGCTTGAACAATTTCAGAATTTTTGTTATTGAGAAGTGCTTTCAGATTACCGGATAAGTTTAGTTTTCAACAAAGCATCTCTTTCAAATTTGTA